CCCGACCTTCGACAATACTAGCTCGACGCTTTACCGACTGAGCTACGAGGTCAGGTCCGATTGAGCAATGGAAATTATAAATTATGGTAATAAATATCGTGAAAATACTCGTTTATATCAAATCATGCAGCATCGAACATGCAATAATAGTTCTGCGAGCGTAAGTTCTTGCAATTTACTGCACCAAAATGCGACCCTTGCTTGAATATGCTGCACCAGTTTGGGAATATTACTCTATTCTGATACAATCCTAAGAAAGAAATACTTTGCAAACGCAAAAACAAAACACATTTTGATTTAAGTTTCGACTTCTGGCACTTAAAAACTTGCTTTAAGATGTTAAGCCATTCAAATGAGTGAGCGAATTAATTATTTCAGATGTGTTTCATGCATGCCGAAGTGACCATGAATTTGTTTCTGCATATTTTTTGTCATATATATCCATATCCAGATAAGAAAGCTTTATTAATATTACTCTATTGTCTCTATTTTAATACAGTCCTAAGAAATACTTCGCAAGCGTCAAAACAAAACAAATTTTGATTGAAGTATTGAATTCTGACACTTAAGAACTTGCATTAAGATCATGTTTCGCTCGCTAATCTGGTTTAAATAAATGATTACAAAGCCCAGTCGAATTGTAATCAAGACCCAACGATTCGACACTCCAGTCTAGTGTCTTCATCAGGGGTGATCTAAAATTGCAATCGCGGCTTCTTAAATACCCAAGGGATGACGTCACCTGCCAATGAGATGCATATATTCCTCTGGCAAGTTGGCGCCGTCATCCCTATTCAAAGCATGATTCCTCATATTTGTATGCGGCCACGCTTCTAGGCAAAGTGTTTGACCATAGCGATTGTTTGTGGTAATTACTTTAGAGTTTTCCCACGCAATCTCGTGTTTGGTGTAACATACATGTTCGGCTAAAGCTGATTTTCCCTTGTCTAAAGTTGAAACAGCCTTTTGATGTCCTTTTAGCCGTGTACCAAACTGGCGTTTAGACTGACCCAAATACTCTTTCTCGCAGTCACCGCATGGTATAGAATATACAGCATGAGTTTTCTGATTTGTTTTAACAGGATCTTTTGGCTTTGCGAAAATATGACCTAAAGTCAATCTATGGCTCAAAATATGGCCTAAAGAAAATATGGCAGAAAATCAGCTTTAGCCGAACATGTATGTTACACCAAACACGAGATTGCGTGGGAAAACTCTAAAGTAATTACCACAAACAATCGCTATGGTCAAACACTTTGCCTAGAAGCGTGGCATATAAATATGAGGAATCATGCTTTGAATAGGGATGACGGCGCCTACTTGCCAGAGGAATATATGCATCTCATTGGCAGGTGACGTCATCCCTTGGGTATTTAAGAAGCTACGATTGCAATTTTAGATCACCTCTGATGAAGACACTAGACTGGAGTGTCGAAACGTTGGGTCTTGATTACAATTCGACTGGGCTTTGTAATCATTTATTTAAACCAGAGTAGCGAGCGAAACATGATTGATATACCTGGTTGCAGTGAACGAACAAACTTTAAATTGCATTAAGATGTTGGGCCATTCAAATGGATAAATTATTTAGGGACCGGTCATTATTTATGGCAGGGGTGGGGGCCGAAGAGAAAATGGTGGGGTAACTGAAAAATAATACTTGCTTTAGGTGGGGTGGCCAAAAAATCCTTGCATGCAGAGGTGGGGTAAAAAAAAAATAACCTTACTTTAATCACACACAATACAATATATACTATTATAATATAGCATTTGTAAATTCTGAACGCTGATTGGCTAAGAGCCGTGTTGATATAACTCCATGTCAACACGGGAAATTTTCCGCCGCTTGTAAACACGGAAATTTTTCTTATTCTTCGGGCTTTTGACATTGCTATATTATAAAAAAAATATAAAACATTTTTTCCGTATTGATATATAGTTATATCAACACTCGTGGAAGTTGGGAAAACTCGAAATTGTATGAAAACACTCCGCCCTTCGGGCGTCGTGTTTCCATACAATTTCTCGTTTTCCCAATTTCCACTCGTGTTGATATAACTGTATATCAACACGGAAAATGTTTTATATTTGTTAATTATTATATACACAAGGTCTGGATATGAGGTATTCTGCAATCTGATTGGTTCTCTACTAGCAGGATATTAGCTCATATCCTACTAGTAGAGAAAAACAAAATGGCGGCTCAAACTGAATTTCCGATTTTTGCGAACGAGAAAACGGCAAGTTGTTCGCTTTTTATAGCCTTTACAGGATTAAAAACACAATAAAAAAACTCGCACAAATTGTTTACAGGTTAGCAAATGAATTTTTAAAATTTAAAATGGTTAAAAAGATATATTATTGAAGAAATAATCGGCCGAAAGAGCGAAGATAAAAACATAAACAAAATAGAAAAATATTGAAAATATCCGAAAAGCAAAGTCTGTGAATTCAAACCTTGTGTATATAATAAAACAGTTATTCCACTCACTCTCGTCGAATATAAGCGATAGAATTCGACTCGAGTTCGTAGAATAACTGTTAATTATCAGAGTTTAATATGTGATTATTCTAATTTTTTAATAAAATTTTATTGCTTTGCAAAATGTTGACAGAAACACCCCCCTCAACCCACACGTAAAGGGGTAATTTTTATATTCATATATAGGGGCTGTTTATATGGTGCAACTGCAAGCCAACCCCAGGGTACCCAAGCTAGCCCAGTTTTGGCTAGATTCTGCCTTTGTTGTTAATTCTTACTAAAGTTCACCTTATGTATATATGGGTAAAGAGCGGGCCCAGCTATAGCTAAGCGAGATCCCGCCCCTTTAACCCGAGATCTTGCCTCAGGAAAAGTGACCTTAAGTCTGTAGCCCCTAACCGCGGGCATCCAGCCTCGCCCCCATATAAACATCCCCTTATTACATATCTCAAAAAGTATATGTACAGTCTATTAAATTTTCAGGATTTAATTTTTGGGCATCTACACTTGATACTGTATAACTAATATTTATATCTAGTATGTGCTTGTAAACCATGTGGACAATTCAGGTAGCAAATCATGAAATATGCCCATGCCCCTTGTGAATCGATCTGGAGAATCATTCCAATGGCTAGTTCATAATATGTTCAGCTCAAACATTGTTCTGAGTCTTTGGCAACTAGCTGTTTTTCTTTACTAGCAGACCATGTATACATGGATAACATAAGAGAAATCTATTTACCCGTTTTACAGATTAATTTAATTGTTTATATAATCATACTTGGAATTCGGATGAATATCTTTATCTTCACACTGTATAACAGCAACTTTTTCTCATTAATTTACAGTAACATCATTTTCTAAATTCAGATATTCTCACATGGAACATATACTTTTATAGTATCGTTGTATTGTTTACAAATTAAAATATTAAATTGATTTCCAAAAACTTCAAGAATCCCTTGGGAATTCTTAAGGATTTCCTTTAAAATTCCGTGATAATACATGTGATTCTCTATAGTAAGGAAATATTAAAGGAATTTCAGAGGAAATTTTAGAATTTAGATAGTTGGAATCATGGGTGAGCACATACTGTATTCTGTGAAAGTGCTTCAAAATAAAATTGCATTTTAATTAATAAAGAAATGCAAATATACAGTGAAACTTTAAAGTGGGAAAGAGATAGGGTGGTGAAATACGGTTAGTGTTCTAAAATATTGAAATATATGCTGTACAGATTACCGTTTTATATCAGTGCATGGTTAATATATGTTTATGCCACTAGCATTGCACTATCTCGTGAAAAGGGAATATAGCGTTGAATACAAACTATAAAAACCCATTCATATTTCAATTTTACAAGTAGACAAATTTTAAGCCTTCAGATAACTATAATTCTTTATATAGTACCTTGCTATTGTAGGGGTAACCCTAGCCTGCGCGCAGACTATATATTCATATATATATATAGTCTGCGCGCAGGCTAGGGTAACCCATAATAAGGCATGACTGTTAGTGTGCTTTAATTACTCCACAAGAAATAAGGGGCAAGGGATATTGGTAAACAAGTATTACCAATCAATCCTATTCCCTTTTAATTATAATGGCCACTGTGATCAAAGCACCCTATAATAATTATTATTTACTCTCTAACAGCAGATGATCTTACTCATCAAGGGCAATTTTGTATCTTGATGAGTAATACGCATACAAAATACTAAACTGTTTCATTACATATTTTATGTCTGAACCTTTGACATTGCAACAAAATAGGTTTGGGTGGGGTAAAAAAAAATTTCTGGCATTCCACCGGTGGGGTAGCTAGAAATTCTGTTTCGAAAAAGGTGGGGATTTTTTCCGGCTTCATTATACTTTCTCTTCGGCCCCCACCCCTGCCATAAATAATGACCGGTCCCTTATTTCGCATGTGTTTCATGCATGCAAGTGATCATAAATTAATTTGCTTCTGCATAATTTATTCATGTATATCATTAGTAAGTAATATTATGATTTCTCGTCCAACTTGAAAAAAAAACAACACTCGGATACGTGAGTTTCTGGAAGATTTCAGATTGCACTCCTCCTTCGCACTCGTCCAATTTTGATCGTTTTTTTTTTAAACTCACTCATGCATGCTTTTCCAAATGGCACTCGTAGGCGCAAGTCATAACACTATTTCCTTTACACATTGATGAAATAAACAAGTAAGTTACTTCAGCAACAGAATCGGCTTGTATGTGTATATACTGTATGCACGAGGTCATATGCACTCCGCCATGGAGGTAATTATATTAGCAAAATGACAGCCGTTAGAAGTGTTATGTCGATTATTATAATAGTTACTCGGTTTTGTTTAGTTTGTAGTATTTTGATCTGCTGCAAATTTATCCGTACATATTATAGAAATAAGTATAAAACACATTGCAATAATTGACCTGACCATGTTAGAATTTGTCTGACTAGTGTGGTATTCTTATCTATTCCTTAGGATCAAGTTTTGCAGTGATGTTTTGAAACAATGCTAGTGATGTATAATAATACAAATCAAACAGAGACAAGTACATGGACCGAGAGTGATCAGATGAAATTGAATGCATTTCTGGACGAGATTGAATTAGCAGAAAAAATTATATTAATTATTTTAGCCATATGTACAATTCTTGACAACACTTTGGTTTTGGTAGCAACCTGGAGAGAAGCAAGTCTTCACCAACCAAATAAATATTTTGTTGCCTGTTTGGCTGTCGCTGATCTTTTGGTTGGTATGATTTTAGAACCATTGAAGGTGTATTACCGCAGTTTCTATATGGAATTGAAAGTTACCATGTCTATTCATCTATGTCGTTTTACGGTGTGGATAGATACCTTTGCGTTATCAGCATCTATTTATACACTGACATTCATCAGTTTTGACCGATATCTCAAGGTCAGTATAGATCCAGAATGACAACTTCGAATTGACCGATATCTCAAGGTCAATATAGATCCAGAATGACAACTTCGAAATCATTGAAAATTATCTTTATCATTTGGTTGATTTCAACTGCCTTTGCCACCTACGCCGCCACTCCTAATTCAGGAAGCCGGGGAATCTTGTTTACAAGCGCCGGTCTTTGCTCCTACGATGACAATAAAAGTAAAGGACACTATACTTTTCTGGCAGTAAGTTCATTTTTTCTACCCATCACAGTCATACTGGTTATGTACGCTCTCATTTTTGCTGTTGTTCATAAACGACAAAAGATGCTGAGAAATGGCGAACTGGGTCACTGAACCTGTGATGATCAGAACCAACGAAGTGTCTTTCTTCAAGATTTAAAGACTATTCGAATGTTAGTGGTTGTCGTGGGAGTGTTTATACTTTGTTGGGGTCCTCACTTTATTTGTCAGATGCTGTATTATTACTATCCAAATTTTATTGATAGCGACAACAACTCCTTAAGTTACTGGTATTTGTTCCTTACAGGTCAAACACTAGTATCCACACTCCCACTATTTAACAGCCTATGTAATCCAATAATTTATGCCTGTTTGGACCAAACATACAGAAAGGCCTTCATAAATCTGTTTCTGCGATTGATGTGCCGACCAAGCTCAAGAAGACGACGACCACCCGAGGCTATGGAGCTATTTCCACTGAGAACAAGATAAGGCAATATTTTATTAATACGAGAATACCAGATTGAGCGCTTAATGATATGTATTTTTACTTAACCTTGGTATCCGGAAAACGTTATATAGGTCACCACCCTAAAAAAGAAACGTGTATATAAAAGGCAGCGCTCTTGATTTAACAAACTTAAATATGTGGTCAAGTTTGTTCATTGCTTAATTGTACAATGCGAGGATCCTATGGCGTAAAAACTACTCAAATTTCGCGTTGTTTCGCCTTATTCTAAATCGAAATCTTAATCTATATATTCATTTAAAAGCACAGCAAACCAGAACAATGTTATATTGTTCAAGACTCAAGAAACCTATAGACAAAGTTAGAATTTTGTTTTTAGTTCCAAGTCGTCCTAGGTTTGTTGCCAATTATGATATTTATGTTATAGGCGCAGAAAACCTAACATAAGTACAAGCAATAATCTCTTTTAAAATTACAATTTTATTTTACGACAAATATCTTTTGAAAGTTAATCCGAACTAAAGAAAAACAGGTCAATCAAAATATATTTCACCCACGCACAAACAATAGCGAAATCTCAATATGAGGTTTCTTTCTTCGACGCAAGGACCTATATGAAGCATGCAATTACACATTTTGCCTTTAAGCACTCGTCCAGGTGAACTATAAGGTAGATCAATGGTGAATGCTCTTTCTATGTATTCCTTCGAGAGCATGGTTCCATAGTTCCTTATGCTCTGCAGCATCATACAGCCTTCCTAGATTCTATTATGTGTATCATCATCATACGGAACCCAGATCCTGACAATAATCAGGTCTTTGCCACCCTCGCCCTAACGGTGTAGGATTGGATCGCTAACAACCTCTCGCTGGCGTGTACTACCTCATCTTCTAAGCCATCACCTTTATAGGGTAACGTCTCGTGGTGCAACAATTAATAAGATGTAACCTTAATATGAACAACTGATATACATTATAGGAAATAAGAGACTATGCTGACTTTCGAGAAACATTTTTTAATTTAACGGTTTAATCACAAAAATGCATAAATTCCGTGTTTACTTGAGTTATAATTAAACTATAGCTCTTTGACAATCAGCGGTAGCCCTTTATAACTGATCCTATTAGTCTGCCAGCCGCACTGAACTGACGAGGTCGATTAATAAGCGCAAGCGCTTTCACTCACATAAAACGAAATCAGTCATCACGAAGAGATAAGGCGGCCATCGTGCATGCATTGCAAATAATGCAGACTGATCCGTATTATACTTTGAAAATTCCACGACATTAGCTGGTTAGTTGTGTATACGCCTGCAGAGTGGAAGCCTCCGTGGGCAACATGTTTAAAAGCAACAGTTTAACAACTGATATATTTTGCTCTAAAATGTACCTATTTGCCTTGACCAAACATGATGAAAATGTAGAAAATACGATGAATCACCAAAAAATCCAGGGTGACCTGTATGTATTTAACTATGCATTAAGATATGAGGAACTTTAATTTATGCTGCTGCAGTGTGGAACCCCTGCACGTAATAACATTTTTAACACTTTAACAGTTCATAAGTTATGAAATGCAAAGCTTATCACACTAAATGAAGATCACAAACAGAGCACGGACCAATGAACTGCTTGAAACAAACTATGGTATGATCTTAAACGTAACATGACATATGTGCCTTTCTCATGTGTCAGCCATGTTGGAATTCAAACGATACTAATAACGCACGAACAGAAAAAGAGACGAAGCAGTCAAATTGCATTCGGCTTCGTTGCGTAATTTGCCTCGTTTAAATTTTCATTCCAACATGGCTGACACGTGAGAACAGCCCATTGTTGATTTGCATATAAAATTAATTATTGACGCATGCATAACTATTAACATAAATTGCCTAGGACTTGTTTTTAAATAGCTATGCGAACATGTCCGTGTTAGGGACTTCTAGTCTTGCGCAGGGTCGTTCCTAGACGCAATAATTGAGGTAGGGGTGGGGTGTATATTCATATATTCACGTTCACATACCGTAAAAACAATCGAATATATGAATATACCCCCAATTATCGCGCTAGGAACGGCCCTGGTCTTGCGTGTCAATAATTTTGTATATAATATATTACGTGTTAGATATACGTGGATTGATTACCCCTGAGGTGCGTACAGCTATAAGCATGTTATATTAAGATACTTAATTAGTATCTTCTTGTAATTCTTATGAAGTGTCAATAGTGTAATTTAGTCAACACAAGCTGTATGCATAGTCTCAGTTATAGGCAACTGGTAATTTGCCCGTCATAAGCCGCGCCGAGCTTAAAAAAGAATCATGTACATATATCCTATAGATAACTCAACCTCGTTCCCAGGCTCTTTGCTCTTGGGAAGCAAAGACCCTGGTCGGAGCTGGTCACGTGAACCCCCAGATTTTGGGGGTAAATTGAATTTGACCTCAGGGAGGGGTAGTAGAGGAGTCTGTTTGTTGCGTTTGGAAAATTGCAACTTTATGTGTTATAATTTCGGGTGATAAAAATGTAATTTGCAACAAGAGATTATGAAAGGAACTGTTTTAAATTGTGCCGATCGTGACAAGACTTCCTGCTGTACTGAATGTCATCAATAAAAAGTGTTGCGGTACATATTTTCAAGCGAGAAGCTGGATCATATTTCACTTGCAAGGAAAGCACTCCACACGCGCCTGGCTTGCGAAGTTTAGCACGTATCGCCGTAGAAACATACATATCTTCTACACAGAATGATCGATCAAACGGTATTAAACGAACGATATGGTTCTTTATAGTTGAAGTGTATCCTGTCCGATATTCAAAACAAAAGATTTATTTTATAACGGAATCCTTTGATTTCCCAAACATCGCCAACATGTGTAAACAATAGTGCTATTTTGACTGTAAAAGCACAGGATTAAAACCCGTTATGGACTGGCTATAAAATTCATTTCATTTACATTGCTGAAACTCAACGATCAAGAAAGATAATGTCGAAGTGTAGCTAGCATTCTGTTATCACACAAACGCCAAGACTCCTCCGTGCGTTTCCGTGCGTGCGGTACAACTTGAATATCTAGCACGATATATGCATCAGACACTGGTATTGTACTTTATATAAACTATTTCATATTTTGTGTATACAGTAATTTGCAACGTGTATAATATTAGACCTTTCATTGACATTGGCATTGTCCATTGGGGGCTTTATTGAAGAATAATCCAGCTTCTTTAGACTTGTATAGTGATTAATGCCGCTGTGAGTTATCAATATTTAAATCAACTTTAATCTTTATCGTATTCCGTAACCGACATTTTAGAAGTTTAGTCTGTTTTACCAAACAATACTGGAGGCAAACAACCTATCTATCAATGGAAACTTTAAAAGGTTTGTTGCAGTAAAACTCATTAATATATTAAAGCGAGACTTCGTGTGCATATATCAGTTTATGAATTATGTATACTCCTGATAAAACGTAGGACACTTTATAGTTTATACCAGATGTAATAAAAAATACTTTGCTAAACCTTTTCTGCAGTCATTCCTTTGCATTTAAGGGGAGAGGGTAAATGGCGATAGAATTTATAGGAGATGCTGTGCAATATTTTGGCTTCAACAAACAGGTACCCGTGCAGACAAAAAAGAAAATTCATGCAGTTGTGAATTGTCGTATGTCAGCTGTGCACTGTCCGTTTCAAACAATTTTGTACGTTATATTTTGTCTTCCTGGTGTGTTTAATATAAACGATGATAACCTTTCAAAAAAATCTAGAGCAATATGTCTATAAACAGCTTTAGAATCAATAGAATGGACATTCAATGTGTATTTGGCTTGTGTCCAAATGTGTCACGTACTTTAAGACCGGCAAGGCGCTAATCCTATGACCTATAAACAGTCACTTTTGAGACATCTGTTTAACAAAATTTATACCGTGTCCATATTAGAACAATTCATTGGCATATTATAAGCATATTATAAAAATCATAGCCAGAACAGAAACGCACACGTGAAATGAAACTACGCCCGCACCGGCGAACCCCGAGAAAATAAAAATATTTCAAAGCGTACAGTCATACGTTCTCGTTGCTTGATTTCCTAAGTATCTGCATTTTAGCATGTTCGTATAATTTAAAGCAAACAGAAACCAATTTAGCAAGTAGTTTGAGGTATATATGATTCTCGGCCACTCCTTGCAATCGAACTGCGAAGTGCGGAAGTGGAAACATGTAATATGAGACTTTTCCATCCCCCTCTTGGGCTATCAATTTTCTATGGGTCACGTGACCAGCTCCGACCAGG